GTGCTACCCTTTGTATAAGAGTTAGCTCTCGTGCCTTAGTGAACTCAAATAAGGCTACGGCGTTTGTAGCGATGGGTATTTGGTTAGAGTCTCCGAGAGAACACCATCACTCAGTGGGGTCCAGGTATATCCAGGTGACCAGTCTTAAACAGCATGAGATGCGCATCCTGAAATTTCCTGCTATCCCCCAAGTAAACTCTAACATAATAAATATTCAGGTAGTACTGGAACACCTGCGCAGGAGCTCTTCTTGCATCAGAGGTCGATTAATCCAACCAAGTGTAGCAACGGGAAGTTACAAGTATCGACAAATATCTCCAGCTTAGGTACCAGATTGCTTCTGCTAAACATAATCTTTTTTCAAGTATTAAATTATGGTAAATCCTGTTATTTATGGATTTCTTCGTGAAACGTAGCTGCTTTTCTAGGAATAACATGTGCACATATATTGCTACTGGGAACAAAGGAGAAGGGATCAATGTAAATACAATTGAAATAAACTGTAGCGTTACTTCTGTTCAAATCAAAGTTCAAATCTTATATCAGTCAACACATGCATCTTTTCCAGTGAACGTATTTCTCAGCAGTAATCTAAAACACACTGAAATTTGACAGTTTCATTGCTTATGAGAATTAAATATTCAGGTTATGACTGCATTGAGAAAGTCAGAAACACAGCTTGGTTATGCATCAAGGGCTCGAGCTTTCGAAAAGTGTTCCTTCTAATGAGTGTATCATTCCCAATTACAGTCATAATTGCATGCTGTTGAGTAGTGCGAAAATACTAATTTCTCTTAGTCTAGCCACTTATTAGGTAATCGATTACAGATATCACTCTTCCGGAAAGTTACAGGAGTAATTCAGTGTTTTTAACTGAAAAGCACAATAACAATTTTAATAAAAAGATGAGATATGAAAAATGTACTAAATTTCTATTAGTTAAACCGTACTGAAATGCTAATAGTCCCGTTCAACTTATAACCTGTAAAATGTGACACTAAAACCGATGACCAATGAAAAATTTAAATTCGTAGGTAATTCGTAAGTTCTACTGTCCCCCTTAGCACTTTTCACGGCCGAGTAGTTTTATAACAGCTTGACTGAGATACTGAAAATGTTTTGGTTCGAAATCACCCAGTCAAAAACAGTATATCATGATCTCTGACACAAAAGTGTACTGGACAAATTAAATATACTGTTGAACAACATTGGTAGATAAAAATTATGCTGGTTGATCTGCAGATTTTGTTAACCATATTGGAATGACTACATTTCACTGATCCGGGCACACCATCGATGAGCTTGAACTAAGACAAGAAAAAAAGCCACCTAGTGTTCAGACCACTCTGATCTTTTTGTTGATGTACGTCACATTGTTAGGTAGTATAACTAAAAAGTCAAAGTAAAGAGTCAGAGAAATTAGACTTTTGCGAATCAATTCCTAGTAAAGAATCTCCTAAGTACCCTATGAAAAAATAAGATAGCGGTGTATTAGTGTTGGATGAAATCAGAAGTGAGGATAAAAGTTGAACTGAAATGATTAAAAGGTGAGAACTTTCCTTCTAAGTTACTATGTAATAGACATGATTTTCATGCATTTTAATCGCGACCGAAGGTGCTTAATCTGACCTAACTTTAAATGTATAAAGTCACTATTTATCGTTTTGATACTTGTAGTTAGATTTTTAGGCTTATATACGATGTGGCATTGACTTAAGGTAATGGACAAACCGTGAAAAATAAGGACCTCGAATGTGAAAGATGTATCCTCTCCGGCAGATTTTCTTTGGTTTGCTGTCACAGAACTTAGTTGTAGATACTAGCCGACATTTTTAAATTTTTCTACATTTGTTGAATTAGTCTTCAGATAACAATGTGCTCAAAAAAAGCGTAACTAAAAACTGTTAGAAATGTTAAGTAGATAACTTTGTATGTATTTTTAGAATTTCGTTCGCAGTTTAGTAACGAAATAGTAGTCCTAAGAGTAGTGTGTTCAATGAAAATCACCTACTATTAAAATTAAGGCTTAAAATTTTCTATTTTTCATGCACTGGGTTAAAACTATTCATGTCATTAAAGTTACAGATCCTTCTTGGGTCCTTTTGTGTATTTCAAGTTCCCTTTCAAAAGTAAATAGGAATATTGATCAATTTCTCATAGTAGAAATATAGAACTACTGAGTTACAAAGTGCGCCAAGTACAGACAATAAATTCCGTTACTTGGCATATATCAGTACCATCAGTTTAAAAACCCAGTCACATCTAAACAACCTCTTCATTTGTTGAATCTATAATGTATAATGTATCTACATATAAAATATCTAGACAATTAGTGTCATTACCAGCCTAACACAGGTTTTCTAATAGTTCTCTTTTTCTTCGTGTCTACATCTGTGTGTTGTACATCTTGAATTTAGAGAGTTCATCTTTAGTTTATTGTTGAATAATCGACAGTATTTCGGTTACAGTGCAGTTTTCTTAAAGATGCTTGGTGCTGATTAATTGGAATAATCGCAAATATAACAAAAGTGGTCTAAGAATCTGACATAAAACTTTGTCTGAGATTAAAAAGTTTAGACATTGAAGTATTTAGTGTTTATAAGTAGTGTAGACCTGGTTTTGTTTAAGGGTAGCAAAATGAAAAGGTGATAAAATCACTTGAATTCTATTCATTTCTTCTCCTTGTGTTAAATATAGCGTTTTTTCAAAACGTGCTCGAAGCACTGAGATTTTGTAGACGAAAGCTATGAACTTATCCTATTGTATAGTGTCTTCCTTATAAGACCACTTGTCTGCTTATATAATAATGACAAACATTTAGGATATGTCTGAAAACTTTAGCTGTTTTCATCTACGAAAAGTCAGGCAACTTCCACAGAGAAGCTCAAATGATAAGAATTTTCTAATTTGTCAGAGGAGGAAACTAATCTCATTTATTTTATTTCAGATATAATACTCATGTTACGCTTAACTAAATTTCTGTCACTACTTAGTGACTTTGTTGCCAGCGAAGGGACAGAAATTTACCATGGTTCTCTATGGAACTTGCCATTAAACAATGAAGAGCTGCTATCACATTCATAAGACTAAAACTTTGGGTATGCGTTTTCACAAAACAAGAGGACTTGGATGCAGACTTAACTGATAACATGGGATTTTTCTTTTCCTCAATCGAAATGTTGAATTAAAATTCTTATTAATTCTAGTTATAAGGATCACATTAACGAATATAAAGTGATGAAGCATTTCCGAAGCGATGTGACAACTGATCCGAAAGAAAAAATCTTTTTGAAACGATGGAGTCCTGTGTCTATTTTTAATATGTTTTAATATTCTTTTGTGATCACTGAATATCGCTGCACTGTGCTGAAACTTACTGAACAGTGTTTCAACTATTTTTGTGCTGCTATTTTTGTCATATGCAGGAATACCCTTGCACTACCTTCCTATGAAACCCTGATATATTTCATGATAGGTTTATATATTAAAATAATATCGTGGGGATTTTTTAATTTCACTTATTCTAGTAAAGCAAAAGATGACCAACGTTAGTGGATAAACCGGTGGCAGTCAAGGTGATGTTAGTTAGGCTTAGGTCTCATCTAAACAATAATATTATTTCAAGGTGACTTCTAGGTGACAGGTTCTTGTTAGGTTAAGAGATGATTTATGGTTTGGAGTGAAATCAAGAAACCCAGAAAGTTATAATAAGTAATCACTCTCAGTCTTTGACTCATTATGCACTTGGATGTATCAGAGTTTCCAAAGCATCACATTTCTTTACTCACTTTGTAAATCAAAATCTCGTGCGACAGTTTTTCAACAGGTATTTAGTTTTATTCAAAAATACTGAACTTTAGAATTCATAATGAAATGTCGAAGTCTAGACCTTCAGTTCAGAACTCGAAGAACCTTAAGTGACTTCTTACAGCACATTATTTATAACGGACAGTTGTCAACTTCAAGAGTATTAAATATTCTAGGAGCACTGGAAAACTGCATCATCGAAGTTAAAGACGCATTAGCGGTACGCAATCAAATGTCCAGAATTTCATACTTTTAAAGAGTTCTTCAGCCAATCACAACCCGTGTTGAAAACCACTAGGAATCAAAAAAATTTGTATTAAGCTGAAAATGAAGATTACGTTTGTTGAACTACAAAATATAATGGAAAAATTTCAAATTCATTTTACCTATAGTTGGTCAGTGGAACGAACCATTCAGCCTATTTTTTGATGTGCTGGAGTTGACTTCCATTTACTGCCTATCGTAAACCACTTTTCTGATATACAACGTTTGTTAATACGAATGGTTTTGATCGACTATTTTAAGTGTTATTCTCCTAAGTGCTTTAGATGGAAATGGACAATATCAAACTAAGACGAAAATAACGTTATGTAATAAAGTGATACTTGGGATAGGTTTTTTCAGTAGCGATGAAGGAAAAATATACTATTCCACTCATAAGACATTCGTGATGGTAAATCGGTAGTTGTAGTGACAGCGCTCTACTGTTTGCAGTTATCTTTGCCAACCAAAGTTAATTAGGAGCTATCCTCCATGTATTTTGTGTGCGTTGCAGTCTTTACAGCGAAGTGAGAGTATAGAATGACAGTTTTACTGAATATCATTATCAAGATGCGAAAAAGTTTGTTTTATTATCCGATTTCAGAAACTATAATATTTCACTTAGATATTTATATTTAGCATACCCTAATCCTGGATTTTGAAGCCACAAACGTATTCATTTGGCATACTATGAAGAAATCAGACAGACAACCTACAATGCTTCTCTGTTTTTGGCATTGATATTGCCTACGTATGAGCAGAATACGTCAGTAGGTTATAGGGACTCCATTAAATTATGCATCAAGTAAGAGACATAATTTAAATTGCTGTTACTGCTTACATATAGGTGACATTTATAAACGACTTGATGGATTACTTAGGGGTTTATACGATAAAAAGCCACCTTAATCCTTACCAGTTCAATAACTTACCTTTATATAAAATGGGACGGACAATCAAACAGAATGCTTTGATCAGGTGAAGAGGGAACAACAAACGGAAATGGTTGTTTGTGAAAATACTTCACACTTTTGAAAAAAAGTGAGTGTATTCATGGACTTATATTCTTAACTGTGAACATCATAAATTTTCACAATTTGAAAAATATTTTGAAGTTACATATGGTCTTCTTATTAATAACCTGATTAATAAAACAAGGAATGTAGACTCAGGTGTCCATCCGAAGAAAAAATTGGCAAAATGACAAAAAATGGAACTTTATTTGTTTGGATTATATCGTAGCTTCCTAATAAACTGAATTAGTTTCTAGTAGTCTAAAGCTAATGACTAATAGTTTTCTGGGTTAAAAACAACGTTTTTGCTTTTCTGAGGCACACTGAATGCATTTATGCTCAGAAAATTTATTATTTAACCTATTAAAAAATGATCATTTCGATCGGATTGTTTGGCACACCAAGCTTTCTCAGTTGAGTCCTTTATTTTAACGGTATTGTGCTGAAGTAAATTCGTCAACTTTATTCTACTGTGTAATTCGATAATAAATGATCCTTTGTGAATTTCCAGCCGCCTTGCACTCTCATATGACAAATTATGGAATAATTTCAAAGTAATATAAAGACAACTAACTGATATACAATGAAATTATATTTATAAAAATCCTCATTGGGATTCTAAAAATATATTCTTATTATACAAGAATTCGACCGTACCTTACATAGCACGCACATTATGTGGGGAAAAAAGCGTTAGAACAGAACTCACATATCAACTTTGTAACAGTTAACAATCTGATTTAAATAATTTAATTAATGTAAAATGTTATCGTTCTTAATATTCTTTACCTTAATTGAATTTTATTTATAACACATTTCAAAATGTTGTAAAGGAGTATAAATATACATATATTTTTTGTTGTTGCAATATATCATGCTGAGAATTCCAAATAGTACCAAAATTGTTTGGAATTAAGTGAATTTTTATTATTAACTAATACTTAATTTATTCAATTCTGTCAGGTCAAATTTTGATCTTAAAGTCAACAGACTAACTAGTAATAGGAAACCACTTACCTTCCTCATGAAATTCATGAAAAACAGATAGCCAGGATAATAGTGGATGGTGAAATGTTTCTGCCGTGACAAACATAAATGATTTTCTATTATTTCGCCTATGATACTTATCATCAAAATAACTGTTATTCACAAATTTTGATAAGTTAGCAGTTATGATCAAATCGAAACACTGAATATTGAAATTACCTCATATACAGCATTTTTGAAATGTAGGTTCAAAGAATTTCGCAACACTTTTGATTCAGGTATCAAGTTAGTCAAACTCTGCCTGCTGTTTTCAGCTTCAGAAGAATTATACTATCAGTAAAGGAACTACAGTGCTTTTCTCCATGCCAATTTAATGAAACAAAAAAATTATATGATCCTAAGACTCCTGTACGTATATATTTCTATAATTTTATATTCTTACTCAACATTATTTCCTAACATTTCAATTTGCGGCGCTGTGAGGTAACTGGAAACTGAGGTTGGTTGAAAAGTGAATTATATTAATTAGGTAGCACTTATTGCATAGCTGCAATATCAAAAATAATTCGTAAGTATGTGTTCAGTCACTACTATTGTATTTACAAAAGTGTGTGGAAGAAGAAAATTGGTAAACACATATGAGGGTAAAGGATATATAGAAAGTGAGCATGAAAAGTAAAAGTCAAAATCAGACATAAATGAGGTTCATAATTTATCTCTCTCAAGCAAATGAATACCTCAGATGTACATTGTTAAGATTAGGTAAATATATTAGACTACAGTGTGCTTAGATACACAGAAAACAATATTCAAGTTTAATTTTGTAAAAAGGTTATGCGACTCCAGGAAAGTTATAGGAGGTTTAAATTATCTAATTCCTTGAATAATTTATGAGGGATTTAAGTATGTAGTACATAGAGTACTCATTCTAAAAAAAATTTAGGCACTTATTATCATTTCAGCCGAAATGCATTTCACTGGCATGTAGTTATCAAAATTATTCAACTAATAGAAAATAAGGGGACTATTCTGAAAGAGTATTTATGCCTTGGGCATTAATGAGTATTGAGGACAGAAATTCTCATCACTGAAGATTTCAGAGTGGGGTATGACGATGATGTGATTAAAAATAACAAAGGGAATAAATTCCATTCTGTTTCAGAAAATGAATTCCACTTATTCTGAATTTAAGTTACATCACTTTTCTGTCTGCCAGCAAGCACTTCTTTGAACCGAAAAATAACGTGATTTATAATTTAGTATAACTATTACTAACAAAAGTAACGAAAACAGTGATTTGGGTTACATAGATAAGTTTCAATATAATCTAGGAGTGTTTAGAAAACTCAAACTTATATAATGAATGATTAAATAAGAAACACAGCTCAAATTCTTCCAGGATATTCAAAACAACTATGGACTGGATGTTTATAGTGATTTGAATAGGTTAAATAAACGTTTGACAAAACTAAATGGTTTTTATTTCATTTAACGATAAAAAACAAATGTATAGATATAAATACTAGTTAACTACTCAATGAGTGACTTACAGAACAATTGTCATCGAATGAACATTTTAACAAAATCTACCAGAGACATACTACTTACATGAACAAATACGAGTAATTGTCAAATGAAACCTCTTTTATGAAGAATTCCTAACTATTTGCAAATTTCTGTATTTATATGCGCTCAATTTACGAAAAACGTTCAACAACATGTATAACAACTAACAAAGACAGAGAATTAGTTTTTTTACTAGTGAAACGTGGATTAAACTTATTCACCGTAGATTAGCCAATAAGAATAACTGCAGAGGTGAGATGGATTAACTTACAAGTGACGTCTAACAATTGCATTTGAGTTTTGTTTTTAGTATTTTCCTTATCTTAGAAAATAAGCTGATAAAAAACAATTTTGGTATAGTGGTTAATGAAGCTCAGTGGCCTAGTCGATTACGCTCCGGCATTGAGACAGATAGGTCCTGAGTTCGAGTCCTGGAGGGAGCAACATCGCCCGCTAGGGTGCAGGTACATCCAGCTTACGAGTTTCAAATTGGATGAAACATGCCCCCTAGATTCTGCTGCCAGTCGCTATCCATCAACAGTATTCAGAAAGATAGTTTAGACTTAGTTCAAACAATTACCAGGAAAAAGCTCCTGAAAACTCATAAATGAAATTCTGATGATCTGCTCTGTGTTCTATGCTGTTATTATCTTATATTACTGAAAATTTATGTATTGTCACTTATTGCTTTTAACGCATGGTACCACCATACCTATTTTATCCACACAGCTCCTCTCTTTCCACTTCTTTTGATTATTTTAGTACGAAAAATTAGGAATTTACTTGCGAATGCCATCTCCAGTCAAACATTTAATTGTTATTTGATAAAAATATCAATTTCTTATGCAAAATATAAACTGAAAACCAGTCTTTTTTTGCACAAAACTCCTGATCCGACTGTGATGTAGAGCTTGTTACAGGCAGTTTCAAGGGGGATTTTCCGAAGCTCAGTTGGTTAACTGCTAACCAGTCGGTTAACGAAATCTGAGTGAGAATGAATGATCACCGATTACATTGAATTATGGTCCCATTATGCTGAAAAGTAACTGTAGTTGAAAACGGTGAACCACTGCGTTTTGGTCCAGTAGTTAGGGTTTCATACGCTCACTGCGAAGCCTAACTTTCCTGAACTAGGTCCTTCATGGAGTCGGAGACACGCAGAGCTGAGAGGTTCCGAAAACGTAAAAGAAAACTATCCAGTTGTCCTCTTCGACTGCCCTAATAAGTACGAATGTTTTCAGATGAAAGTCAAGAGATGGGAATAAGACATCCCTCATCTCACCTTTGCCTGAATTCAAGGTATAAAGGAGGAAGACGAATACAAAAGCTACCATAATATTTTAGCAGTAAAATTTGCCATGCTTCACAGCAACATCTAAAAAGCAAGAAGTAAATAAACAACAAATAACATACAGGTACACAGATGACATGGGGAGAGAAAGAATGAATAGATGAAAACTAATAAAAATGCAAAAGACCCCAACAATGATAAACACTGTATACATTTGGGTTATCTGATTGATTCCAAGCCGTATCACCAAGCTGTTTCAGTCATCAATTCCTGTCATCTCAAAAACAGCGACAAGATATCTAACACCTCCATACTGGTTCAGACTAACACAAAACGAATTCATGAACTGGTACCATGTCTTGTTTTTTCTACCCTAACCTTTTGGCAACGTAATTATATTCCGGCTAATATTACATGCCAAGGAGGTTGTTTTCTTTAGTTGAAGGGAGTACACTATTGTTGTCTAAGTGACTGACTTACCTTCGTTGTCTAGCAGCCTACTCCTAACATCGATCGTGCTCACATGATAATTCTATCAACCGCGATTAATAGTACTAAAATAGGTTTACTAATCGCATCTTCTACTTTCAAAGCCATGTGTGGCAGTGATACGACAAGAATGAGTGGACTACTACACATAATACTCATCTTTTGGTGTACTGCAGAATATCTCATCGGAACAAGAGAAATAATATATTCATAAATGACTAAAGAGTTTCTCATATAGTGGCTGGAAACGATCAGCAATTAGTTCACTTTCAGTTGATGCAAGTTCCCAAGTTAGTAAAGTGGTCAGTGCACTCATCCAAGTGCTAATCGCTTACCAAAAGGGATCAGGTCTCTGCTCAACACATCCAAAAGATTTAATTTTCCTTCGGTGTCTTCAACGAACTGGACGGTGTCGTCCGTGTGCTGCGAGTCCACCGAATGCCCTACGGGATACAAGTTAATCTGCGTAACATCGTAGGTACCTGTAGTTACGTTCATTACCACATCTATAAATAAAGAAGACAGGAATGGCGATTGTGAGGATTTTTGACAAGCATTAACTATTTTCACCACTTCAGATGAAGACTCAGTGCCATGTTTTACATAAGTATATGTAATCCAGCAGAGATTTTTGATTAAGTTAACATTATCACTCGGTACCCCACCCATTCCAGCGCTGTAAATAAAGTTAAACGACAACTTGCATATGTTTCCATAGCAGTGGGATACTTCTCCCAGCTTAACTTGGATGGCTATTGTCACTCTTTTTAGATAAATGCCTCACTACCTTCACTAAATGCTTATTCAGTGTTTTCATCTATCAACCCAGCACAAAGGACTTATCACTGCATGCTTTCTGACTACAGTAACGTCGAAACACAACATCGCATACCAATGCGAGATCAGATTCCCCACAGGTACTCGAAAAAGACTGATAATTCTCTCAACGATCTACTCCAGCGATGGATTACAGAAATATTTATGTACACTGTTACTTAGGTGTCAGTGGTTTCAAAGTGAAACAGTTACTCTCCTTATACCTGAAGTTAGTGTAAAACAAAAACAATTTATTGTTAAAAAAGGTTGGAGGAAACAAAAGCTGTTGTTGGTTCGTTGGTATGTAATTCCTTATGTACCTCAAAAATGCCTTTCCGGTTAGCTCCACTTCCTTGCCTATTATTATGACTATATCTGAGGGTTTTGCTTGAAGGTACAAAATTGATATGACTTGTTAGAATTCATTCCTTGTAATATTCAAACTGCAGTTGGTGAACACATTAACGGAGATTACGAAAAGGCATTGTCGAGTGTCACGACCTTTCTTACTCGTTGTAGATCCATTTAGTTGAACAATGTACCGTTGACTATCGAGTACTATTCGATTACGAAGTGCCTATCTTACTTCATAAACCAGTGTAATACCTTCATTGGTGAGTGTGCGAGGACTAGTAGATGAATATCTATGCACATGTCAAGTAAACTTCATGGATTCATCAATTTAGCCAGGTGAGGCCAAAGGAATAATCGAACATAAATCCTGCATGCGCGCCTCCGAAACAAAGCACACATTCATTACACGATATTCCAGAGTTTATTCACACGGAAGCCTGTTGTTCAAACAGGCATGAGACGCAGATATTGAAAGCTTCGATGTAATACTGGAAAAGTACTTTCAGAGAGCTGGGAATCGTGTTTTTTTTAACTCAGAAGGTTAGTGACGGTCACAAGATAAGATTATTTTATTATGTTTCATTTTTTGTTCCTTAGGTTTCTAACGGAACATGGGGCTTCAGTAGCACGTCTCCAGTGAACTCTGTTCTCTGAAATCTTTTGGACCTGGCTCCACGACAGCCCACAAGCTCTCATTTCCTACTCGCACGATCTCCTCCATGTCACCCTCGCCTCGGACAACCAACTTAAACGCTTCACATCAGGGTTCCACTCGAGGGCCTGATGCGTGATGTCCCAGTCGGCCCTCTCAGTGTATGCCCTATCCATCTCCACTTCCTGCCAGTGCATATTTGTTGGGTGATAGGTTATTGGTTGGTTCGTTCCCAGAGTTCCTTGTTGCTTATTCTTAATATTCTCGCCATCTGATATTCAGTAACGAGTCAGCGTAGGCAGTTGTTGATGAATGTCTGTAGTTTGTTGGAAATCCCTTCCGTAACACGCCAAGTCTCTCACGCATCACACAGAAGCACTGATTTGACGTTGGTGTTGAAAATCCGGATCTTGTTCCACATGCTGAGTGCAGAAGATCTCCACACCGGTTTCAGGCTAATGAACACCTGTCTTGCGTTTCCGATTCTGACTTTGACATCCTCGTCTGTCCCGCCTATATTTGAAACAGTGCTTCCTAGATAGGTGAAGGAGGTTACTTCCCTTAACTTTCTCCCATTGATGGTGATTGGAGTTTGTTGTTGTTGGTGGTGTTGTTGGTGCGGTATCTTCATCACTTCTGTCTTCTCTATATTCACCTGAAGTTCCGTCTTCGCTGCCCTGCCTCTTCTGCCAACTTGTTAGTTTTCGCCTGTAGATCTTCAAGTTTGTGCGACATCAGGCACAAGTCATCGGCGAAATCCAGATCATCTAGGCTCTTTTCCGCGGTCCAGCCAACGTATCCCCCTCTTCTCGCTCTTCACTGTTTGTTGCATGATCCAGTCGACCACAATCAAGAATATCATGGGGGATAGTAGGTCACCTTGTTTCATTCCTGTCTTCACTTCAAAAGCATCACTGAGCTTCCCATTGTGAATTACTTGGCATGTGGCATCTTCATATAGTTGTTGAATGAGACTGATAAAGGCTTGTGGTATTCCGTAGTGTTGAAGCAACTGCCAAATTACCTATCGGTCGACGCTGTCAAAGGCCTTCTCAAAGTCGATGAAGTTGAGGTAGAGACTCGACTGCCATTCTATACTCTGTTCTATTATGATGCGAAGCGTATCAATTTGGTCTGCACATGATTTGTACTTCCTGAATCCAGCCAACCAGCCAGCCTGTTCCGGTCGAAGTTTTGAATCTAGCGCATCCTTTAGTCTCTCCAAGATGATGCGACATAATATTTTGCTTGCCCTGGGTGGACAGGAACGTGATTCTGCACCAGTTCTTGCAAACACTGAGATCTCCCTTCTTCGGGAGTTTGACAAGGTAGCCCTTCTTCCAATCAATGGCCAGGTACCTTCCCTTCCTTCCACACCTTCGGCAATAGTGGTGTGAGCATGTCCGCTGTTGTCTCTGTGTCTGTTCTCAGTGCTTCTGGTGGGATTCCACCTGGTCCTGCTG